GCTGCCTCTGGTCTACATCAGCACAGGGGGTCTAGGTCCTCTCCAGACATGGCCCTTGGTTGGTGCATCAGTCTCTGCTGGACCACCTGGGTTCAGGTTTTTAGCTTTGTTGGTTTTGTTCTATGGTGTCATCTTCTGGCCTCATCTGGAACTGCATGTGTGAGGTACACATATATTTACTGGCAAAACACATAAAAATAAAAATTAATTAAAAAATTAATACTTCAGTGCTCCGTCTCTCTGTCTATCTGTTTCCTTGCCCCCCTGTATTTCTTGTGTGTATGTTTTAAAGTGTGGCTTGTTTGAGGTTTTGTTTTCTTGTTGGTTTTCTAAAGAAAGAAAGAAGGGTATTGAGAGGTGGGACAGATAGGGGTGGAGTTGAAGAAGGGAAATTATGATCAAATATATTGTCTGAACAAAAGTTTTCAGTTAAAACAACAACAAAGAGCACTTCCCACTCTGCAGGGGACAGGATAGGGTTCCCAGCATGCTTTCACAAGGCTCACGGCAGTCTGTAACTACGGTCCACTGAATTTTACGCTCTCTCTGGCTTCTACAGGCACACCCTGCTTGTGTGCAGGAGACAGCCACTGTTTCTGGTGGTTGGATGAGAACAGCCCCTATAAGCTCACACATTTGAAGGTTCGGTCCACAGTTGGTAGAACTATTTGGGAAACATTAGGAGAAGTTGCCTATTGGAAGAGGTTTGTCACTGGTTGTGGGCTTTACAGTTTCAAAAGGGATTAAAATTATAGACTAGTTTGGTAATTTTTACTCTCTCTCTGAAGCTAGAGGAGAACCTATATCTTACTTAAGAGATTTAAAGTACCCCAAGTCTGTTAGTTACATTCGTTTAAATTTGAAAAAGGTTTTGGTTCATTTGCTAATGTTTACTCAACAAGGTTTAGAGAGGAAAAACTCACTGATGCCTATTGTAGAATTTAGTGGTTGAGACCTTATTCTATAGTATAATATTGTTAGAACATGACGTTGTCTCTTGTCAGTTCAGTTTTACAGGTTGAAGGAAAGAACCTAGCTATTCTTAGATAAATTTTTTCATATAAGTTTTATTATTTGTCAAGTTCTGTGGAATTCTACTTGGCATTGTTACTGAAGTCATGTTGTTTTATAGATGTGCAAGGTGAATTAGATTTTCTTCACGCTATTATTTTTGTAAGATAGTGTCTTATTCTGTAGCACAAGATGACACTGAAGCCGTGGCGATTCCATTGTCTCAGCCTCCTGAATGCTGGGTCGACAGATGTAGGCCACACCCACTTCTTATACTTTCCATATCTGGCCACCTGAGCTTCTCATTATGTTTTCTTTAAAAGTACATTATGACCTATGATTTCTACCTATTTTCATTAGGTTTCAGTTAATATCACATAGTACATTCATGTTTTCTTTCTGACATGTCCTTTCCTTCCTCCCTGATACAATGAAATACATTAGGACTATTATTAATCTTTTTGGTTTCTGTACCAAAACTTTTCTCTCTGTGTTTCTGTGTCTCTGTCTGCCTGCCTGGCTCTCCACCCCTGGCTAAGTTATTTTTAGGAGGGTAAATAACCAGAGGAATATTTGGACGGATGAGATAGATCACTTGTGGTGCTGAGCAGAAAGAACTGTAATTCCACAATGACTGTCATAGGAGCCTTTTTCAAGAGGTTGGGGTCTAGATTATGCTGGAGCTGTTTCTCTGGTGTTAGAACTTTGAAATTCTTGTTTGTGCTCTGAAGGGTGTTTGTGATGTACGGTGGGGTAAATTGTATTCATACTAAGGTTCTTTCAATGTATTATTCCTATGAAGGAGTGCTGGTGGCAGGGGTGATTGACCCTGTGAAAAACTGGCTTAGAGGCTTAAAGCAAAAGATCTCTTGGACAAAATATTTTACTGAGATGAGCAATGATGCTATAGGTATCTGTATAGATTCCCAGCAGGAGGTATACAGAGATGCAGGTCTCCAAGCAACAATGCTATCTTTTTACCTTAAACAATATGTATATAAACCTTAATATATATATATATATATATATGTATATATATATCCAGCAGAAGGTATGTGGAGATACAGATTTACAGATTTACTGATGTTTAATGAATAAGCCTTCTCCACTTTTCTCATTTCCTAAAATAATTCTATGTGGTAAAAACACCATTAAAACAATCACATAACCTATGCTTTACAAACGAGTATAATTTCCTTTTGAGTTTTCTCTCCATCTTGCTATATTTTTCACAGGTGATTTAAAGAAGAAAACAAATGGAGAGGCATCTCACAAAGCAAGCAACACTGAACAGAAAAGGCCAGTCTGGAGACATTATAAATAGGAAACAGAAACCATAGCAGAATGGGACAGATAATCACAGAGTGGAAAAAGAAGGGTAAGCATGCCTTAGGATCCCAAGGGAACGGAACTGCATGAGAAATGGAAAGAGATTAGGGCCACATGATCACAGCACTGGTAGTCTCCATGGCTCTAAAATGTCAGATGCTCTTTGGTAAATAGTCATTGAGATGTGGGAAATTAAAAAGCGAAGCAAATCAAATCAAAGAGACATAAAATTGCCAAAAGAATAGATTATAATTTTGTCTTCCTGCCTCTAGCTTCATCTATACATTCTGACCTTGTCAACGAGGATTGAAAACATGATGCTTAATTTCCAAGGAAATACAGAAGCTCCCCAGATGGCAGCAAGCTTTAAACGCAGTGCAGTGCAGCCACCACACTCCCCTGGGCTCGTGAGGTCCATTTCCTCAGTATAACAGCCTCTGAGCCTTCCTTCAGATCACTGAAGAGGTGTGCAAACAAGAGAGGCTCCTTGATTTTCTGAGGCTACAGGATGCATAACCTTCTCGTTCATGCTCTTCTGGAGTCATGTGAGTTCTGGTGGGAAGAAACTCTAGAAACAGGGACTGTCTATCCTTTGAAAAAACTCTGTCCTTGCAACTTGTCATGAGAATTTGCTTCAAAGCACAGGGAATGAGGAATTTCTTGAAAAACCATATTTGTGTTGTCTGATTCAGAGTTTTAACTAGGAGCTTCTTTTAGGAGTTCTAGTTTTCCATTAGACTTAGTCCTTGGAACCACCACAATGGGGTGATATATATGTGATACATACTCTCCCTTGAATATAACCAAGTAACATCTAGAAAGTGCTAATCATATCAATAAGGGCCCTGGATCTGATCAAGTGCCAAAATGCTTTCTTGATGTGTTTCTCCTAGGGAAGATGAGTATCTAGCTAAAGGGGATTGGACATGTGGATCTTTGGGAACCTTATGATCTCATACACCAGTGTGTTAAAAACCCTACAGTTTTAAGCACACTCTCTGCTATATGCCACAATTATCTCTCTCTTCCCTGAGTCATATGCTTTATTGACATAGATCAGTGATTAGAATAGTTTTATCACCAAGTTCCATTTCTTTTTGGCAATCCCTGAGTCTTTAACAATTGAAAACTATGAATAAGTGATCTTTCCCTACATGCTTGGATTTCTTGACTTAGTTTAGTTTTTCTTTTAATCTCTTTATATTGTAGCCAAGGAACACCTGAGGAGTAGAAAAGTCTCTTCTAAGAACTTGTTTTTTTCTAGTGACTATAACCAAGCAGCTAGTTGGTTCATTAAAGACTAGGAGAGTTTATAAATCCCATTTAACATGTACATAGAGTGAGGAAAAGTTGTGGCAAAGAAGTGATTCCCTCCTGATTCAACTACCCACATATCCTTGTCCTTTCGTACTGACTTTTATGTCTTCTCCAGTGTCTAGAAGAGGGCCAGTTATATACAGCCTTGCACATTGTGACTGAATAAGTGCACTGAGAATTCTAGGCAGTGAGTCTCTTGTTCCTGTTTTGAAAACTGTAAGGCAAAGTGAATTTTACAGAGATGAGTCATTATTGTCCAGATGCAAATTTTAAGGTAATCTTAGAAAACCACTTCTTATCATTATGGAATGACGAGAATGGTAGAATTTGATGACTTTTCCCCCAAATAACTGCGTACTGTAGATAAAGTAACAGCAGAGGGTTGATGAAGGGGGATAAAGTTGAAACTTTCCTTTCAGAAATACAACCAAGTTTAAAAGCGGGTTTACTTCCCTGTATACAGGGAAGGCAAGGCATCTCACGGAGTTTCTGGCAAGAGTGGAGCAGTTAAATGTTTAAAGTTCTTCGAACATTTAAAGCAATGTTGAGTTACATAGAAACAGCAAGAAAATCAGTTAAAACACACAGAATCTTTGAGTATTTAGAGTAGGCTAACATATAGTCAGTTATAGAACCCTTTGTCTTTTTCTGTTCATTTTACATTTCATTGGAAATCACGGAAACTAAACAGACAATGTAAATGTGACTGATTATGTACACAAACATCAATAACGATCTATATCTGTTTACACATTGTGCCCACGTGTGCAAACGAAAATACGCACGTTCTTACACACAAAAACGTTATGGGTTCATGAAGAGCGCAAACTACTGGTGCAATTTGAAAACTAGTTATTAAGAACCAGATTCCAAATCAGAGACTGCTTTAACTTAGATATGAAAAATGATGTCCATCTTGACTAGTGAGCTGAGTTTTCAGGACTGATGGCCCCAAACTGATATCTCCTTACACTGCATGCGTAGTATTCAGCCACATTCCCAGAATAAGGGCTGTGTTTCTTTCCCTGGAGACAAGAACTGTTAGCTAGGCTGCAATCGTAGTTCACTTACTCAAACACTTTCTCATAGCTACTTATTTTGTTACACACTCATATGCTATGCATTATGCAAACATTTTGCAAATAAATACATATATTCTCTAGCTCTAGAAATAAATACTATGATTTTTATGGCTGCCATTTTAAGAGTAATAATTTTCTAAGCATTCTATAGCTAGTGGAAGTTATTGTGATCTCATTTATGTATCTCATGTTGTCTTTCCAGGCAATACGGTGCGGTGTGGGGGTTTCTGACCAGAAGGTGTCCAGCACCACAGCCAGGCCATGGAGTCTGCTAACCACACGGACCTGGATCCTTCTATCTTCTTTCTCCTGGGCATCCCAGGTCTAGAGCAGTTCCATACGTGGCTCTCACTTCCAGTGTGCTGTCTGGGCACAGCCACAATTGTGGGCAATATAACCATCTGGTTGTTGTTGCCACAGAGCCAGCCTTGCACAAACCTGTGTACCTCTTCCTGTGCATGCTCTCCACCATGGATTTGGCTGCCTCCTTCCCCACAGGGCCCAAGCTCCCAGCTATTCTCTGCTGTGGAGCTGGGCATATCTCTGCCTCTGCCTGCCTGGCGCAGATGTTTTTCATTCATGCCTTTTGCGTGATGGAGTCAACAGTGCTGCTGGCCATGGCCTTGATCGCTATGTGGCTATCTGCCACCCTCTCCGCTCTTCTACCATCCTCACTGACACCATCATTGCTCGCATTGGGGTGTTAGCTATGATGAGAGGCTCTCTGCTCATGCTTCCATGTCCTTTCCTCATTGGTCGTCTGAGCTTCTGCCCAAGCCGTGTGATCCCACACACCTACTGTGAGCATATGGCTGTGGTGAAGCTGGCCTGTGGAGACACCAGGCCTAACCGTGTACGGGCTGACAGCCGCACTGTTGGTCCTTGGGGTTGGTTTGTTCTGCATCGGTCTCTCCTACGCCCTCATCGCACAAGCTGCTCTTCGCCTCTCATCCCAAGAAGCCCGGTCCAAAGCCCTGGGCACCTGTGGCTCCCATGTCTGTGTCATCCTCATCTCTTACACACCAGCCCTCTTTTCTTTTTTCACACACCGCTTTGGCCACCATGTACCACTTCACATTCATATTCTTTTGGCTAATGTCTATCTGCTTTTTCCACCGGCTCTTAACCCTGTGGTATATGGAGTGAAGACCAGGGAGATTCGTGAAAGGGTTGTCAAGGTGTTTCAGTGGGGAAGGGGAACTGGGCTCAAGACATTTAAGTAACTATGGAGTATAGTGTCTCTATACAGAAAATGAAAAAAAAAAAAACCACATAATTTTGCAAGATTAAGAAATTCAGTATTTGAAACTGGAAAAATATTTAATGTTAGGACAAGATCCTCTGTAAATACTTTTATTCATTGATAACAACTATACATCATAGCATAAGGGGAGGTTTCTGTGCTTCTCTTTGATCAGGAGAAGTATAAACTTAAGAACATAATTCCATCCAGGTAGCATCTAGACACAGGAAAATCTTCTCCTGTCCTGGACAGGTTCTACTCAGTTCAGGAGGGTCTCTGCATGGCCACACTTCCTGGAGCTCATCCAGCACCCCAAGCATGTTGTTCAAATTCAGGCTGTGAAGTTCAAATTAACAGCATTGGGAAGGATCAGAAGATCAGACAACAAAGCCACAGCTAGAGACCAGCAAGGAAATTCTTAAGCTTCTCACAAATCTTGTTTTTCCCAGTTAGATCCTCAAGCGTGGACAACGAGTGAACTGTCAATCAACACAATATGAGTGAGCAGCTGTACAGAGCTTGAACTGAGACTATTTCAACAGCAAACAGCAGAACCTCTGTGGATGAGGGTACAGGCGAGGTCAGGACATACCTTCATTCCCAACTTCAAGCTCTCCTCTCACACACAGCACCTGTCTCCAGCTTCTAGGGAACCAATATTAATCCAAATGATCTTGGATATTATCCACAATAATATGTACTTATATGCCAGATGTCCTTACATCACTAGGAGGAACTTTGCAGAGTCAATGGCTCTTAACTCCTAAACTTGGGAAAAAAAAGTCATGAAATCAAACAAAACAGATTGAAACATCTTAGCTATTCTTTTATTCGCCCAATATTTATTAATCAATTTCTTTTTTTCTAAAGAAAAATGGGCAAGTTCAATCTTAGCTAACTGCATGTGGTAAAAGTTTCTTTTCAAAAATTTCTTTTGAGTTATTTTTATGTGTTCGGCTGTTGGAGCTGCATGTGTTTCTCTGCATCCCCTTAGTTCATTGCCTGTGGACACCAGAAGAGTGCTGGGACTCCCTGGGACTGGAGTTAGAGATGGCTGTGAGCCACACTACATGGGTGTTAGGGGAAAAGCCCAGGGTCTGTGCAAGAGCAGAAAGCTCTTGACCACCAAGCCACCTCTCCAGCCCCTATATCAGCGAAACTAGGATAGAAACTGGTCACTATTCACAGGAATCCTTCAGGTCTCCAAGAAGAGTGATGTCAAATGGTTGGTGTGTTATTACATGCCATTAAGAACAATCACCTTCAGGAAGGCCTAACCAATGCCTGGCCCAAGCAATGACCCACCTTATTGGATAGTGCCAACTCCTGACACTGCGGTCCATAGTCTGCTAAACCTGCAGACAGGAGACTGACGGAATTTTCCTCTGAGAGGTGCTGCTCATCAGTGCCTCAAAACAGATGCAGAGACTCACAGCCAAACATTAGACACTGCATAGGGCATCTTGTGGAAAAAATGGGAGGAAAGAGATAAGAACCTGGAGGTGATAGGAGCTCCACAAGAAGACCAACAGAGCCAACTAACCAGGGCTCAGAAGGGCTTGCTGAGACTGAAGCAACAATCAAGGACTATGCATGACCTGGACCTAGGCCCCCTGCAAAGATGTAGCAGATGGTTAGCTTAGGCCCCACGTGGGTCCTCCAGTAAGGGAAGTGGAGACTGCATTGGACACAGACTCACCTGTCAACTTTTTGATCACGTTTTCCTGGCAGGACTGCCTTGCCAGGCAATAGAGAAAGGACATTCTAAGTCTGGATGCAACTTGATGAGCTGGGGTGGATGGGAAAGGGAGCTCCCGTTTTCTGAGGAAAAGGGGAGAGAAAGGGGAGGGAGGGAGGGTAGGACTGGGAGAGGAGGAGGGTTGGAGCTATAATGAGGATATAAAGTGAATAAAAAAATTAAAAACAAAATAAATAATCACCTTTAAATTGAACCCATTGATAGACAGATTCTGCTTATAATCTTGTAGTTCTCTGTAGATGAGACAAAAGACTCCTGGACATTTACAGATTCTCCTGTCCTCAGAAAGCATCAGTCATGAAAGAGAACTGTCTTTTCAAAATTTCCATGTTTGAGAAAATAAGTATTGCTATTTTAATACTTCAAACAGGCAGAGAAAATGGTTTGCATGCACTTCAGTTAATGGCCATCTTTCAGGGAAAGAGAAACATCCTAGTCATGGGAAGACCAGGCAATGTGTGGGCTGCCAGTGGTTTTCGCTTTGCCTTTAGTCCTCAAATTGATAAAAACCTGAACATGATTTTAAGAATTATGTCCATGGACATGGTGGTACATGTCTCTAATCCTTGAGAAATGGAGGCTGTTAAATCACATGTTCAAGATCAGTTTGTGCTATATAGCAAGACTCTGTCTCAATTCTTACTCCCACTCTGAAAAGAAAAAAAAAAGTATGTACAATTCAAAATATGGCACTTCTTCAACCAAGACAGTTTTTCATTCTCCAAACTGACATTTTTCTGGCAATAAAGGCCCCAACCACATATCTGTAACTCTATAACCACCCTGCACTCTGTCTCAGATCTGTGGCTTAGGGACTTGGAGCCCTTCTGAATAAACTCCTGTAATGTACAGATAGGCAGGCCTCCTTGCTCATGACTTCTCACTTTAATGGGGTTCTCAAAGCTCTGTGTGTGTGGTTTCACTCACTGTATGTTTTATAATGATGCATTTTAATCACAAACAGCTGCCTTCTCCAACACCCTTCTCCATGCTTAAAAGCTACACTAATTTCTGTCCCATAGACTTAAATAAAATGATTCAAACAAACTACTTTAAATTCTAATCTTTGTACGAACTCTTGACATCTATAGCCACTATTTCTTCCTTTTTTGCTGTATTCACTTCATGTTATTTCCTTTTCTATTCAAGAAAGCTTAAAACACACCAGTGGAAGCTAATGCTGTCATCCACATATTGGGTTCACAATTTGTTTGTGCTCACTGGTAATTTTTCTATATAGCTCCTTTCCCCCTATTTCCCTTTGCCTTGCTCAGTGTGTGTGTGTGTGTGTGTGTGTGTGTGTGTGTGTGTGTATCAATCCTAGTCTTACACTTTTCACTAACCAAGTGTTTTGCCACTGAGTTATATTCTTAGCTTATAACCATTTAAAAAAATTGTAAGTAGATTATTCTCTCATATAGTACATCATAGCCACAGCTTCCCCTCCTTCCACTGCTCCCCACCCTGTCTCACTCTCCATTTCCTCTTTAGGAAGAACGGGATTCCAGGAGGCGGCAGCTAAACAGGACAAAACAAGATACAATATGACAAGGCAAAAGCCTCCAAACTGAAGCTGGGCAGGAGAACCCAACAGGAGGGAAAACGTCTAAAGAGCAGGCCAAATAGTTGGAGACACACCCTCTCCTACTGTTAGGAGTCCCACAAAAACACCAAGCTAACAGCCAGAACATAAACACAGAAGACCTGGTGCAGACCCGTGCTGGCCCCGTGCTGGCCCCGTGTTGGCCCCGTGTCTGCTGCTTCAGTTTCTGTGAGCCCATGTGAGCCCTGCTTAACTGCTTTGTTGGGCTCTGTTCTCCTGGTATTCTCCAAACCCTCTGCCTCGCAGTCTTTCCTCCCCTACATCCAAGGGGTTCCCTGGTCTCTGAAGGGGAAGACTGGATGGAAACTACCGGCTCTGACTCTCTTTCCTCTGTGGCCTGGTTAGGCTGCCCTCCTTGGGGAGGGGGTGATCAAAGAGCCAGCCACTGAGTTCATGTCAGAGACAGTTTCTGCTCCCCTTACTAAGGAACTCACTTAGAAACTGAGCAGCCTATGGGTTTCATCTGAGCAGGGGGTCTATGTCCTCTCCATGCTTGGTCCTTGATTGGAGTATCAGTCTCTGCAGGCCCCCTCTGGACATAGGTTTTTTTGGATCTGTTGTTCTCCTTGTGGGGATCCTGTCCCCTCCAGGTCTTTCTATCTCTCCCTTCTTCCATAAGGTTCCCTGCACTCTGCCCAAAGTTTGGCTATGAATCTCAGCATCTGCTTTGATACCCTGATGAGTAGAATCTCTCAGAGGCCCCCTATGGAAGGCTCCTGTCCTGTTCTGTGTCTTCTCCTACTTCTGATGTCCATACTTTTTGTCCTTCTGAATGAGTATATGCCATATGAGTCTTTCTGCTTCTTGGTTACCTCACTCAGAATGATTTTTTTCTAGTTCCATTCCATTTGCCTGCAAATTTCATGATTTCCTTGTTTTTAATTGCTGAGTAGTATTCCACCGTGTAAATATACCACAATTTCTGCATCCATTCTTCAGTTGAGGGACTTCTAGGTTGTTTCCAGATTCTGGCTATTATAAATAAAGCTGCTATGAACATAGCTGAGCTTGATGTATACTTGAGTGTCTTTTGGATATATGCCTAGCAGTGGTATAGCTGGGTCCTGAGGTAGCACTATTTCTAATTTTCTGAGAAAGGGCCAGATTGATTTCCAAAGTGGTTGCAGAAGATTGCATTCCCTCTAGTAATGGAGGAGAGTTCCCATTTTAGTAATAAAAACTTGATAGTATTGGCATAGAAGCAGACTGGTGGATCAATGGAATCGAATCGAAGACCCAGAAATAAACCCACACATCTACAGATACTTGATTTTTGACAAAGAAGCCAAAACCATACAATGGAAAAAAAAAAAAAAAGACAGCATCTTTAACAAATGATCTAACTGGATATCTACATGTAGAAAAATGCAAATAGATCCATATTTACCACCCTGCACAAAAGTAAAGACCCTTTTCTACACAAGTCTTTAAAGCTCTTCCTTTTGGTGACCAATGTGTTTAATTGGGGTTTTTCACAGAAATGTCTTTGTTGGAGTATGAGCAATGTTTTATGTATCAGTGGCGATACCACTTAAGAAATATCTCCACGCTGCTTTCAGCAACTAACCGCTCATAGATCCTGAGGGGAATGGTGCAGTTATTTGAACTCCTCATATGC